GCGTATAGGCTAACTGTACTAGTTATATACTTTACATTATTTGGCATTTTTGGTTATTCTAATTTTATCACTTGTTAACAGCCTACTTAATTGTTTGGTCCTAATTATTTAATTTGTCATCTAAAACAATTACTAAATTTATTTAAAAGAAAAAAGCGAATTTGTTCTTAAATAGTGACCGTTATGGAAGCTAGCTAAAATGATTTCAGTATGTGTGATTAATTACTAGAATAACATATTCAGAGAGCTGAGATGGGACAAAAGGACTCTTAAACAGTTAAGTAAACTTTTAACGGGGGAAGGGGTTGCTTGAGAATATTACCTTTGCGATAATACTAAAAAAAGATAATGTAAAGCTTAAGTTCCAACTACAAGTTGGGAATGATTATGCTGGTAGCATGAGTCAGCTAAGACCAAATTTATCTTGCATTCTGCCACCTTTTCAGAGTTAAACAATGTGTTAGTCATAAGCTTAAACGTTCTTTATTATACGAGTTTAAACGATCGCATCATGTGTCCAAGCCAAACTAATGTAGAGCCTATTTAACAGATCAATTTTGAATAATTTTTATGCATTTCGGCTATAAGCTTCCTGGTCCATACCTGCTTGTCGCCTTGAGCGTCGTTTATGTGAAGCTTGATCAGAAGATAATTTGGAGTTGTGCTGCTCTAGGGTACAGATCATATCGTCAAGACCACCAAATATGTTTTTGGCAGAAACATTGATAACAGACGCCGCTTGGCCCAAGAGTATTCTGCCTCTCGGTAGCTCCCAGCTGATGATATCACTCAGAGAGTATTCCGATGCCAAGGGACAGCTGGCCTGAAGCTGATTTTCGTTAATCTGCTGGGGCCTTGCTACCGGCGTCACGCTACGAGGTACTAGAAGGAAGAAGGTTCAAAATACGATGTGTAAAAAATTATCTCTGCTTAAGAAAGTTTTGTTGAGTTGGCTTAATTCAGGTAGCACTGAGCAATTCTTATTATTTTCTTGGCTTGTCACATGCTTTGGATGACATTCCTTCCTCAAACGAAATGAAGAGAACTTGAGCCTATCCAGCAAAACAAAATTAAGATAAGCTGAGATATAATATTTTAATGGAGTTGGCGAGAAAGGGTTTGGATAACCTGCTAAATCTGTGTCATTATCCCAATTCAATCAGGATTAAGGGAAGCAAATCCGAGCTGAACAATAGGAAGAATATGACTATAAACCTAAATTTGTCTGGCCTTAGGCTGAAAATCCTACTGCCTCTTAAACCACTAGCTTTAAGTCAAGATGTCATAGTAGAGAGAAATTCGAGGCAGTTAAAGAGTTTACATCCTCCTCACTTTATGTACGTCACCTTATCATAGTATACTCCGACTTTTTAAAAAATTAATGTTAATTCTAGCTAATACCTACTCTATCCTTTTGTTCGAACTCCTTCAAAAACTGTTCCGATTCATGAAATCAAGCAGTGTTAGTGGACCTTTTAGAAATAGGATAGTATGGCTTTCTTCAGGATTATGATTCATTCCAAGGTCAAATCCCTTCGCATTTGTGATATATTAACTTTAACCTAAGCTACAGGATAACGAGTTCCAAAGGTAGGGACTAAGAGCTTCAGTCGAGGTAAAAACCGTCTGTCCAGCCCCTCTATAAATGAACTCCACATTTTAATTATGCACCCTCCGAGAAATATTAGTGAATGTCCGTCAGCTAGGAGGAAGGTCTAGGACATAACTTGAAAAGAATGTACAGTTTCGGTTATATCAAGACAATAAC